CCGCAGTGAACGTGGGTGTGTGAGTGTCGCTGCTTTCGAAACTGTCTTAGAGTTGGGTAAAGCCTTGTCTCCAGAAGATCCCAAATAGAACCTACGTGAACGACAGCTCATTGGCCCCCTCAAGGTACTATCAAAGATTTGTTTATATAAAAACTAGCTGCCCCTTAGGAAAAAGCAGAGCTCTGAAGAAATGAAACACAGAACAGGTAAGTTTGAGGCAAGGTGGAAGAGTGGAAAGATCTTGCACTTGCGACACTGCCCACAAAGGACACGTCAGGGAAGGATTCCTGGGAAGCTCCTGATCAGCCGGAGGCAGGAGCCTCGAAGAGGACATTGAACAGTGTTGGTGTCCTGGGAGGGCGCCCCTGTAAAGGCAGGCTCCCCACTGTGGGGCAGGCCAGCCTCCAGTTGTGCCACAAGGCGCAGCAGGGTGCCACTTCCTGCCTGTGACAGGTGGGGAAGTTCCCTTGGGTGAGGAGGGGGGACAGTCTGCAGCCCCTTGGCTCTAAGGCTCTAAGGGGTCTGCTCGCAGAAATTGCAATGGAAGGCCAAGCCAGCGTCGAGGGGAGACCAGGACATGGTCTGCAGCCACGATCCCCTCCCTGAACTTGGCATCCCAGCATCTATCTAGGAAGGACAAGGACAATGACAAGCATCCAGTCCTCCCAGCTTCCTTGAGAAAACCCAGCAGGCCTTTTACACAAAGTGATTTTTGCCTTTACGCTAACTCTGCCAAACTGCCAAATGAAAGATAAGGTTGCAAAGGAGCCTCTGGGGTTGAGACCAACCCCCCACCCTGAGTCTGTCCCCCGCCCTGGAAGCCAGAGAAGTCCAGGGCCCTGCCAGGGAGGCAAGAGGACAGTGGCACGGGCACAGTCCCCTGAAGGAGGTGCCCGGGGAAGCGTGGGCACGCAGAGGGGTGGAAAGGACATGAATGGGAAGTAGGCCAGCCACAAATATGCAGGAAGAAGAGAGACAGAATGGGAAGGCATGGACCTGCTCCGCGGCTCTGAACCTTCAACTGGGAGCCCGTGGAGGGGAGGCAGCCTTGGGTGGTACAGAAATGAGGAGACATTGGCCCCCAGGACAAAGAGCTCCGCTGAAAAGAACATGGAGACCCCAGGAGGCTTGCTTGGCAACCCTGTCGCCAGTCCCAAGGGCCCCCTGGAGGGAGAAGCAGCCACATTTCAGAGCCAGTAGGACCTGGCAGGCCCTGGCTCTTCACCGTATTTCCCCTCATGTTACCTCACTTGTCCCTAAACCCCAGAAGCTGGTCACAGGACAGAGCATGACCCCAGGTTCACCTCCATTCACCATAACAAGAGCTCATCGGGCACCTACAATGTGTCGGCCGGCGTGCTGGGCGCACAGAGCCGCCCCCTTTCTCCTGTGCCGCAGGCCCCCGGCTCTGCCTGCTCGCCCCTCTCCGTCGGCTGCCCAGCTCTGTCTCCAGGAGCTCCCTTCCCACCAGATACCCCGCTTTCCCCTTCCTTGTGGCTTCTACCAGCCATGTCTATTTTAAGAATGTTTTTTTCCCACTGAGCTCTACAGAGAGCTTACGAAGAAACACAGTTACCGTGAGCAGTTCTAGCAAACATCATAGAGTTCTCACATCAGTCCCTATCTTTCATGCAAAGAGAGCTAGGCCCACTCCTCCCTCCCCCACCCCCTGTACCCATCCCCGGTCATCACAGGACCCCCAGCCTGTGAACCAGGCCCTCCCAAAGCAGGCTGCGCTGGATGCTGGACTCAGGTGGGCCTGCTGCCTGGTAAGTCACCTCCCCCCAACTTTTTCCAAAACCTACTTTCTGGTCTTCACTCTGGCCTCCTAGATCTTCTAGAAGAGGGAGTCCCTTTCCCTACATGCCTCCCAGAGCTCCTCTGGGCACTGGCTTGGTGGAAGCTTCCCTGGGCTCTCCTTGGGGTCTCCTTGGTGGGGTCAAGACAGGTAAGAAAACTCCAGTGTACACAGAGAAAGACAGCCAGGTACTGCCTAGATTTCTGCTTGCGATGTAGTAATTATTTGATGCAGGCCAGGGTATTTTCAGTCTTTTGCTCTAACAATAGTCCAGGGAAACCTCTGTATCCGTGTCCTGGTACACTGTGTATGTGCACGTGTAGGATACATTTCTAGAAGTGATACCCCTGGGTCAGGGGTCTGCACACTTGCGACGCTATAATTATCACCAAAGAGCCCTCTAGAGAGTTAAACCAACTTTTATTTCCACAAGCACTGTATGCGTGCAGACTCACCAGTTACTACTTTGTACCATGTCTGCTCTGGCGAGAAGCGGGTGAGGCGTGGGGGTTCCGCGTCCCCCGCACCCGCCTTTCCAGGTATGTGCACCAGGGCCACCTGTGGGCGGGCTGCCTCTCAGGCGAGTCCTTCCCGCTTGCAGACCCCCGGCTGGGTGGTTTTCTCCCTGCCTCCCAAAGCATATTGTTAAATATTTCCAAGTGCCTCCTGTGTGGCAGGCGCTGGTCCCGTGCTGGACAGAGCCGTGGAAAAACCGAAGCCCTGTCCTCACGGAACTTGCCTTCCAGTGCCGGGGGCAGGGTGGGGGGAGCAGGACAAACAGACCGACGAGTAGATGATATGTCAGGGGTGAGACTCACTAGAGAGAGAAGTAAAGCAGGAGCTGCACGGGGCTGATCGGCTCCACAGCGGCCAGTCAGTGGTGATACTGAGTCAAGTGGCGGAGGAAGGTCTGGGGATATGCGGTGGCTGAGAATCGCCAGGTGACAAGAGCACCAAAGCCCGCAGTCAGGAATGTGTCGGTGGGGAGAGCAAGCGCCCCGACGGCTGGCACATCTCCGCTTTGCTGCCCACGCCGTTCCCTCCCCTGGATTGTCCCTCGCGCTCCCCCGGCTCATCGTTTGAGCAGCTCAGGGCCCACCTCTGCTCACTGGTTCCAAAATGAATTATTCTCTGCACGTCTGCTGCAAACCGGGGCCACAGCCCAGTTCTGACCAGGATACAAGAGGAAGGAGGCCCCGTCCCTGAGAGCGTCTCTGGTCAGTGCAGCCAGCGCCGGCCTGGCCCCCTGGACGCCTGTGGCCTTCAGGGCCTGCACGCTCACTGGGCATGCGGCACAGCCTGCCCTGGGTCTCCAGTCCTCCTGGAGCACATGCCGGTGGCTCCTGCTGGGAGGGCCCCACGGCTGGGTGGGCGGATGCAGCACAACAGAAGGGAAGAGGCCAGGAGGACGCGCGAACTCGGGGTTCGGGCCGGCGGCGGGAACAGTCGCCCTGACACGTGTGTGATTCCGCCTCCACGTGAACACTTGACGTTCGCGTCAAAAACCGTGACTCGAGTCCTCGATCAGGGAACGAGGATGCTCACCCTAAAAATGCCTTCCTCTAGTGCTCTCCTCCCCCTCCACTCTTCCTTTAAAACAAAAACCAAAAAAACACGTCAGTCATGCCATCCGACATTTAGGGAATCCCTACAGTTGCCAGGAGCTGTGCTGGGTTGTTAAAGAGCAACACAGGTGAACATGGCCCTGTCCCTGCCTTCAGGAAGTGGGCAGTTGAGGCTGGAGCATGTCTTTTTTTCTCGCGTGGTTTGCCGAGTGGGTGGGAAAGAGGGAGAGTACTTGGGGAGGGAGAAGGGGGAGGGGGCACCGTGGGCCGGGGCGGTCCGGAGGTCTCCAGGGAAAGCTGCGAAGTGGCCTGGACTGTGGAGGGTGGGGAAGAGCGGGGGGCCGACATGGGGGGCTCCAGCAGATGGCAGAGTCATCTGCTGGATGTGATGATCGCTGGGGCGGCGGGACTGAGACGTGTTGAGAGGCTGGGAGAAGCAGCGTTGGCCAGCAAAGGGAACAGCGCGGGGAGCGGTCGGAGCGGCTTGGGGAGAGCAGGGCGGCAGGGCTTCTCCAGCCGTGCCTGCGGTTCCTCCTGGGGGCTCAGTAAAAAATAGATTTAAAAAACAAAGCATAAAGTAACAAAGGTTGGCGAGGATGTGGAAAAACCACAACCCTCAGACGTTGCTGGAGAGAATGTAAAATGGTGTAGCCGCTGTGGAAAACAGATTGTCTGGCACTGAAAGGGCTAACCACAGATACCACGTGACCCAGCAATTCCACCCCTAGGTATGTGCCCAAAAGAACTGAAAACACGTTCATGTGACTGCTCATAGCAGCATTGTTCACAGTAGCCAAAAGTGGACACAACTCAAATGTCTATCAGCAGATGAATGGATAAATAGAATGTGATGTAAAAATGCAATGAAATATTATTCAGCTGGGAAAAGGAATGAAGAACTGATTCCTGCTACATATGGATAAACTTTCAAAACGTTACGTTAGCCAGGCTGGTATGACTCAGTGGACTGAGCGCCGGCCTGTGAACCAGAAGGTCACCCACTGGTTGGATTCCCAGTTGGGGCACACACCTGGGTTGCGGGCCCGGTCCCCGGTTCGGGGTGTGGATTGTGATATTACATGAATTTGATGTTATATAAATTATACCTCGATTTAGAAAGCCAAAGAGAGCGACTGAGAGAATGAGGCAAGGCAGGTAGAGGGGAGCCAGGACGGGGCCGTGCCGGATCCAGTGCTGGGCGGCCTGGCCATGGCCTTGGTCAGGAGGCACTTCCAGCCTCCGGGTAAGCCGGCTGGCGTGATTTTGCAGAGGAGCGCTTTGATTTCCGGAAGTCCGCCTGTAGCCAGGGTCCAGGTGCGCCCAAGGCCGCAGCTGAGCCTTCCCCTCACCAGGAAGTCCTTAAGCTAATCTCGTTTCTCTGAGGGTCCCGGCCTGCTCTGCCAGGGCCTCCAGTGACAGCCCTCTGACCTGGCCCGGGTGCCTGGGCCGCAGGTCCACGGCAGCCCTCCAGCGGCTCAGATCCCCTCAGAGAGCTCACAGCTTCCTGTTGTAGCACTTCTGCTGCCCTCTGACCCTCGGAGCGGCTTGCTCCGGGCTGCCTCGGCGGGGGGCAGGGGGGCCGCTGCTGGGGCGGGAGCTGGCGCCCTGAGCGTGGTCTCTGCCCCTCTCCTCCACAGCTCTTGCAGTCTCAGGATGTGAAGGAAGACGCCGTCCTGTGCTGCTCCATGGAGGTAAGCAGGCGGCTCAGATGGCTTCCACCCCGGATGCCATGCACCCCTCATGCCGCACCGTTGTGGGGGTCCCCAAGTCCGGGACAAGAGTGTGTCAACAGGGCTGGCAGGGAATGGCTTCCTGAGTGGGCGTTGGCTTCTGTGTCCAGAATTGTTAACCCAAAACTAGAATAAATGCTGATAGGGAGACTGCCCACCGCTGGCAGGAGGGACAGAGAACTTCCGGCTCATCCGGAGGGAAACACCAAGTGCTGACATTGCCCCTTTCCCTCCGTCCCCAAGGCCACCCTCTCCTTGCACCAGGCACACCACGCAGATGAGTTAAGAGTCTAGGCGACCCCCCGTCCCTCAATATTTCCCTGGGCTTTGGTACTGCGGGGTTTGGGGAAGGGACCTAAGGCTTGAATCCCCGGTGTTGTCACCCATTCAAAGCTGCCCTTCTGGGAGGGGCCATGCCTGTTTCCAAGGTGTGGCCGCTGCTCATTGAAACTGCCTCTGGGATCTTTCTTCAGACGCTCGGCTCTGGCCTAGTCACAGAGATAGAACTTTGCCCTCGGGAAACGGCCCAGAGTCACTCAGGAGAGACGCAGTGAGGGGACGGGCTTCCAGCCTGGGCACTCAGGGCACATCAGGTGGCATGAGCACAGCCCGCGGGTGGCTCCTGCCAGGCTGTCGAGGCCACACCCAAGAATCTCAGATGCCAGAAGTCCTGGGAGCCTAGACAGCAGCCCTAGGTGTAAGGGACGGTCACTCCGTTCATTTGTTGGGCTCCAGCCGGGTGCTCTTCAGGGGTGGGGAGGAAGGGGAGAAGGAGCAAGCATATTCCCTGCCCTCAGATAGCTTCCGGTCTGGCTAGGGCTAGGTCTCTCTCTCTCTCTCTCTCTCTCTCTCTCTCTCTCTTACACACACACACACACACACACACACACGCACGCACGCACGCACACGCGCGCGGCAGTGGAGAGAGTAAGTGTGGGTACAGAGCATGCATCCCCGGAGCGGCCAGGGAGAGAGGTCAGGGTGGGCTCACGAGGTTAAGAAAGGTTTTGTGAAAAAAGGTTTTCAAGCCTTGAAAACTGGGTGGGATAAGGCTGGGGGTGGGGCCGAGAGAGGACTGAAATCATACCGAGAGATCCTGCAGGGCCTCCTGGGCAAAAGGGCACCAATCCGGAAGTTCGGGGCTCCTTCTTTGCATGGGGGGGGGGGCTTTTCTAGGTTATCCGGGGCCTCTCTGGAGGGCAGCCCCTCTGGTAGCTTTCTGTCCCCGTTCGTATTTCTCTTCTCTTCCGGTCACAGGTGTGGGCAGGGGTCAGTGCTGGAGTGGGGAGGTGGGACTGGGGACAGGAGAGAAGGGAAATAGGAGACCTCACCCTGCTCTCGAGTTCCACCTGGACACATGGGTAAGAATGACTTAGCCCGTCTCCAGAGAGACATCCTAGCAAGTGAAAGTTAACACGGTACGGCCTGATCACCTTTGAAGGGAGCAGGTCACACAGTCATTGAGGGTGTGGGCAGTAGTCAGGGAAGGCTTCCTGTAGGAGGAAAAGCTCTTGGGCAAAAGGGAGAAGCGGTGTTTTCCTGGTAAGGGTCCCTTTTCAGCCCTGGGCAACAGGGATTATTCTGATCCCTCTTATTACTGCCAACAGATTGGTTGTTAAATGTGACCTCTCATTTCCACCCTCCCACCCTCCACCCCCCACCCCCCGGGGCGCAGAGGCCTGGGCCTGCACCTTCCGGAGATGATCCAGCTGTTTCTTGTCCCCATGCCCAGCTCACCCAACCTAGGCGGGTCAGGGGACCGCTGTGGGGCCCACGTCCTGTCCTGACCCCCGCTTCTCTGCCCGCAGCTGCAGAGCACAGGCCGGCTGCTGGAGGAGCAGCTGCCCGAGATGATGACCGAGCTCCTGGCCAGTGCCCGAGACAAGATGCTGTGCCCGTCGGAGTCGATGCTGACCCGGTCACTGCTCCTGGAGGTCATCGAGCTCCACGCCAACAGCTGGAACCCTCTGACGCCCCCCATCACGCAGTACTACAACAGAACCATCCAGAAACTGACAGCCTGACAGCCAGGGGGCCTGGCGGGCGGCCCGCGGGCAGCTGGGGCCCTGGTGCACAGGGCCAGATGGACAGGCGGGAGGACAGGGGTGGCCCTGGCGGGAGGAAGAAATGGGGAGGAAGGCAGGCAGAGCCGGCGGCCAGTCTGGAGCCAGGTGGGGAAGGGATCAGATCCCTAGGAGCGTCCCCCCACCAAGCCCCCCAGCCCCAGCATGCGGCAGCTTCACCAGTAAGGGAAGCATGTTTCTTTTTCACGGGCGGCCCTCACCCGGCCCCTCCTCACTCCCGCTCCTCCTGCCCCCTCCCATCCAATGAGACCCCTGCAGGGCTTTGTGCAAGGGGCTTCATCTCGGTGACTCCTCCTCTGAGGCCAGGCAGCGCGGCGCGCCAGGGTACTGCTTGGGTCAGAAAGGGCCTCAGGAGGCCGAAAAAGTGGGTCGGAGACGGGCTTGCATTGTTCCCGCATGCTGTCAGCTACAGTCGCCAACTGGCAGCAGGCGACGTGGAGCAGATGTCCGGGAGGACAAAGGCAGACGTGGTCCCCACCAGCCGCCCGTAATTGACGGCCTTTGTCCACATGGTTGAGCTGGGGGGACAGAGGCATTCGCTCTCCTCCAACCTTCACGCTCCACCACCCCCCAACTTCCAAGTCCTCCTCCCGGACCCCCAAGCCTCAGGCCCGTGGGGGGGCTGGGAGCAGGCGGGGGAGCTGGAGTCTGTAGTTCTACTTGCACCCTTTTGTTTTATTGTGTTTTATTTTTCAAAAGTCAGCTGCTTTGAAGTCTCCTGCCTAAATGAAAGAGCCACGATGTGATCACACAGACAGCGCCGCGGACCCCCTGATTAGTGGGAGATCAAACCTGCCCCCCTCTGGAAGGATTCTAGCCACAGACAGCTTGCCAGTAGCCAATTAGGGTAATTGGAAACTTCTGCCCCGGTGGGGGTCCCACTGGAACCTGCGCCCCTGGCTCCCAGCACCTCCCTTCTCTTATTCTAGCTGCGCTCTCTCAAAGGGCTGATACCATCATGCTGGGAGTGCATTAAACCCCGTCCTGGCCCGGGGCCTCGTGAACCAGGCACAGAACAGGCTGGCAAACTAAAATCCAAAACGCTAGGAGATATGTCCTGCTCCACACACAGGTCTTGTCCCAAGCTCTGAGTGGGGGAGAGTGGGGGCGTGGGGCTGCCTGGCTCCCCAGGACTTAGAGTTTGGGTAAATGGGCTGTGTCGCTGCCCTAACCTCATCACGGGCAGGATCCAGGAGCCCAGCCCTCCCGCAGCCAAGCACCATGTGCTCTGGAGGGGGCTCTGGGCCCTGCGGCCCCAGGGCTGTTGGGACAGGGAGCATTCCCTGAGTCAGGTGACCAGGCAGGGAGGCCAGGCAGAGCCTTCCAAACTGGGAACAAGGCTGGGCTCCCTGGAGGAGTCACGTCCTGGGGATGGCCCTTCTCTGTTGGAGGAAGACGGGGATCGCTTGTCCCTGGCGTCTGCACAGCCTTGTCTCCAGGGTCTGGAGCTGACACTTTGATGCGCCCCCAGAAAATGACCTCAGCCCGGCAGCTTCCTTATTTACTCCTTTACTGAGGCCAGTGCCTCCCTGGGTCACTGGAGGCGGCCTGGCGGCCCGCTCCCATCAGGCTGGCCAGGAGGTGAGGGCGAGGGGGGTGGCCCCAAGTCAGGGGGATCAGGCCAAGTAGGGTAGGGGGCAGCGTCCCCAGGGCACCCCGGCTTTCCCACCAGCCACAACCTGCCTGCCAGCCCCGGGATGGGAGCCTGAGCCAGTCCCCCAGGAGAGCTCACTGGGGGCCCAGGTTTATCTGGAACTGGGCGGTCCTCTGCCAAGAAGCCCCTGCCACCCATGGCCCCAGCCTCTGCTGCCTCCTCCTCCTCCTTCCCACACTTTCTCAAGCTCCTCCTCACCACCTTCCCTCCTCAGCCTGCACCTCTAGCCCAACCTGGGGCCCAGGGACAGCAGAGGTCCCACCAGAGGCTGATGTCAGGAGGCTCAGAGAGGACACTGGGGAAATCACGGTCTTGGCGCGTCAGGGGGCCCTTGCCGGGCAAGCAGCCGCTCCCCAACAGTCCTCCGAGAGGCACACTTGGGCTGCAACTGGCCTTGCTTCCTTCAAGTGCGGAGGGGGCGCGTGCATGTGCATCTGCAGGGGACAAAACAGGGCCCCAGAGGAAGAGAAAGGCCTAGGAGTGGGGGTGCGAGTCGAGGAGGCAGGAGAGTGGGGTCTCCCACGTCTGCCCCGGCTCAGAGAGCAAGCCAGACACCTGAGCGCGTGCAGGGGCCGGTGTTCCCTGGAAAGCAGAGACCGGTGGCATCGTGGGCCTCGTGCCCTTTCCTCCTGGTGGCCCTCCCTGGTGGTCTTGTCTCAGGGCCAACCCCGCCTTGACTGTTAGGGCCAGTGTGAAGAAGTGAGATATAAATATGTACACATATATAAATATATTTTTAATTACGTGTCGTGTTGCCGTGGCCCCAGACATATGGTTTGCCTAGTTGGTTCCGTTGCTCGCAAGCCCTTCTGGCCGATCCGAAAAACAATTTAAGCTGTTTTTCTAAATGCAGGTTGCTGCTGCTTTTTCAGACACGGAAGGAAAACATTTAAAAATGATTTGTTGTTGTTGTTATTGTTTAAGGAAGTAACAGTAAAGCCTAAAATCTGAGACTCTGAGGCAGCTTCCCACGGGAGATGACTCGACAGGAGCTGGGGGGGGTAGACGGGGGCACCCCACAGACCCCCCCAGACCAGCGCCGCCCTCTCCTGAGTGAGGAAGGCCATACCCAAGTTGACCTCTGAATGTATTTGATGGGGGGCACGACTGGACGTTGCATTTCTAAGGCTTACATTGTTTTCCCCACTGGCCCGTGGCTTTCCTGGCGCTGACGCGGCAAAGGCCAGCCATCTGATGCTGACCCTGTGCGGGACTCCTGTGCCCATCAAGACGAGGTAGTCATTGCTTTCCTCTCAGCAGCCAGCCTGCTCGCCACGGTCCTGCCCCCCTCGGCCTTGTGGCTTTGCCTAAGCTCCGGGACCGCAGCCCCAAGGAGGCTCCCGCCCGCCCCTGGACCAGGTGGGGAGCCCCCCATCCTCCATGAGGAGTGTGCACCTCCAGACCCAGTTTCGTCTGTCTGTCCGTCCTTAACCAGCCTGTAAACCTCTAAGGTTTGGGGATCGTCCTGTCCACCCATGTAAATGTAAATGTTGGCCGAATTAGTATTTATTCTAATTTGTATTTTATTTTATTTTCTCTGGGGGTTGGGGAGGGGGTGTGCGGGAAGTGTACCGCTGACGACGCCATGGGCAGCTGCAGGGGCGGGGGCCCAGACAGCCAGGCCGCCGCGAGGAGCAGCCCCGCGGGGCCGCCCCAGACGCCAAGCCCCAGTCTTATCTGGCATCAGAAACCAGCCAGCGTTCCTCATGTGACAGGCTCCCGGGGCCTGCTCGGGGAGTCCTGTCTCTCAGCTGCAGGGCGCCCTGTCGGGAAACCTCTGGCTGGGCCTGCGAGGATGCAGATCCGAGAGAAGACAACTTTCCTCTCTCCTCTCCTGGGGACACTCGCCCAGAAGGGCTGCCGCCCTGCCTGAACCTGCTGAGAGCCTGGCGGTGGGGGCTACCTCCCTGGGGCAGGGGCCCGGGGCTTCCCGCCAAAGCTGCAGCGGAATCCTGCTCACGCACCCACCTTCCCTCTCTCCGTATGTCCTGCTTTTCAGCTGAACCCAAACTACAAGTGGGTTTAAAAAATAAACACCACCAAAAAACAAAAAACGCCCTCAACTCGTGTTCTTTGAGCGTTTGGCGAAGGATACCTTTCGCAGAGGCTCCGAGGAGCCTCTCCCCAGGCGATGCACCGGTGAGAAGGTTCCCCCCAGTTTGGCCGCCTTGGGCAGCAGGGTCCGGGTCTAGGGCCCAGGGAGGTTGTAAAGGAGTGACCTAAGAGAACATGGGTGAAGGAGACTTAGGTCCCCCTAATCCCTGCCACGCTGGGACCAGTGGCCTGTCCAAGGGGTAAGAGTAAGCTCGTTCTGTAGAAAATGGCCTTTACACTAGAGATCTGGTTTGCTGCCTCTTTAACCAGCCCACCCCCCTTCCTTGGAAATGTCACTGCGTTTGGCAAAGACTCATTATAAGAAGACTAAGACTGGGGACTAGCAGCTTCTAAAAGTCAGCAGCGAGTGGCTGTCCAGTCCCAGTGGGTCAAACCAGTCTTTCATCACAGGGTCCCCAAGGGGCTCAGTGATTTTATTTTCCTGTGATGACATGTCCCTTGTTTTGCACAATCCCTCCCATGGTAAAGCATTGGGGACACCACCTCCTGGGGGTGGCGACCAGAGCACCCACCCCCTTTACACTCACCTGGCCTGGCCCAGCAGGCAGCCAGGCCAGCCCAGGAGCTGGCGAGGGCGTGCTGAGATTGGTCGCTGCCCCTCACTGGGTCACACCGCTGGGCAGAGGCAGCCGGGATGCACAGGTTGGTAGAGGGAGAGAACATTTTAATTAAACATTTGAAATACTTGTCAAGGCAGAGTTTTTTACAAAATGCAAAGGAGGAGCGGAAAGCAGACGTCAAAAGCGTGAAAGGTATTTGGAGGTAAGAGAGTGTAGGGAAGGGGAAATATTACCAAACCATATTCACAGAGGAGATTTTTCTGAGTGATTTAGTCCTGGTTCCAGAAGGTTCTAAGTTACTGAAAACTATGATATGCATCCTCCAAATAAATAAATGTTTCCATCCTGCATTCCCCACCACTTCTGACGATAGGAGTTGCCCATCCTTCTGAGGATGAGTTAGATTTGCACTGGGGTCTATAGGAGGGACGGGAAGTGTATTTTGAATGAATAAGCTTGAAAATACACGTGTGTGTGCACACGCAGGACTTGTCAAGAGCCTTTTAAGTCCCAAGGCAAATGCAGCAGAAAAAGAAGGGATTGAGAACACGAAAGGGAAAGAAGAGTTTATGCCTGAATTTCAATGGTCTCCTTCCCACAATTCCCCAGTGGCTTCAGGGCCTTCCATAGGCAGTGCAGTTCAACACAGGCAGATGAGTACCTTTAATTCCCATTTTACAAGTGAGAAAACAGACATGACGGACCCAGAGCCCAAGGTCAGCCAGTAGAAGAGCCACACAGCCATATGCCCCTTCCCCTGGCCCAGAAGGTGAGCCTGTCCCAGCCTCTGCCCTCTGACTGCTGCCGACAGGGCCCAGGGGACCGGCCGGTCATGCCGGCTGGACAGAAGGAGCAGCCAGCTGCCCGCTGAGACCGCCCTGGGCCGACAGCATGGCGTGCCCTTCGAGTCGGTGACAGCAGGAGCGTGACGAAATACCCCAAGTCGCGGGACTTCAGTGGGGCGAGGAGGAGACAGAGCGATGTTGCAAAATTTGGTGCTGTTATATAAAATAACCCATTGTCGTAGGTGTAGACCGTCCCGTTTGTTTTCCTCCAGGCCAATGGTTCTCAAGGCAGGTGGGAGGTGAGGGAGGCCCTCCTATGGGGTTATATCAAGGGTGGCTTCAACATCCAAATTGCCGGGGAACTTTGTCAGGCGATATGCTGAGAGACGCCACATAGGGCACCAACATTTTCAGAATTCTGGCCTTGGGGAGCCCCTTGTCCTGGTCAGTACCTCTGTAGGACATGGGAGAAAAGGTGGCTGAGGCCACCACTGCCATTCCAAGAACATAGCCACAAGGGCTGTCAAAGTGACATAGAATTAATGTCTGGAAACAGTGGCTACATCACTGTGTTCCGCTCTTGGGTTTGCGAGATCGGGATTTGCTGCCCCAGCTGAAGTGAGGCTGGCCCGCGCTGCACAGTGGGGGAAGGGGTCCCTGTAAGTTGCTTGACTGTGGGACACAATCTGTACCGTGGGCTGGGGACAGTGTTATGACTTTCATGGACCATGGGCATTTCTGCCTTGTAGGCCCTTTCTCCTTAAAGTAATATAAAAATTGTATGACTACATTGGTGTAAAGACAAATATATTAATATTAGTTATTAAAACACTTTTTCAATGTAGAAATTTTTTTAAGATTTTATTTATTTATTTTTAGAGCAAGAGCAAGGGAGGGAGAAGGAAAAGAGGAGATAAACATTGATGTGTGAGAGAAACATCGATTGGTTGCCTCTCACACAAGGGCCCACAACCCAGGCACGTGTCCTGAGTGGGCATCAGGAATCGAACTGGCAATCTTTTACTTTCACTTTGTGGTACACGCCCAACGAACAGAGCCACACAGTCAGGGTGAAGTTCATTTCTTGATTCTGGTTTTAAAAGGCATGAAAACATTTTGTGGGACCCTGAAGGCACTGTGTGCCCTAGACACTACGCCTAATGAGTGCGTTGGCCCGACACGGACATCGTACCTGAGCAGGGAAGGAACCTAGCCTTTCCCTGCGGCCCACCTGATCTCAGGGTGACCCCAGGCAGAGGAGGTCAGGTGGGGGTTGTCACAGGGGCAGCCCACCTGCCGTCTCCCAAGGAAGCAGTTGGCCCGCCCTGGGAGCAAATGCAGTAGCCGCTTCTGCCCCAGACTGGCTGCGGGCCAGGCAGCCGGGAGCGAGGTGAGCAGCTGTGCGGGCCTGGCCAAGGACACTCCGGCCCAGAGGGCCCGAGCCATCACACCTCACTGCCTGTCCTCCACACTCTTGCACAGACAGCATCTGATTAGTCTCAGCAGAGCCCTGGGAAGGAAGTGGAAGAAATTCTTACACCCATTGTATGTCTGAAGAAACTGAGGTTTAGAGAACCACACCATCTGCTTGAATGGTGCTCTCTAGTTTTCAAATACATGATCTCGCTTGACCTCCCTGATAGGCTTGTCAGGTGACAGACATGTTTTTTATTCCATTTTAAAGATAGAGGAAACAGGTAACAGTGACAAATGTGTGTCATGAGGCCAGTGGGCACAAAGGCCAGGCCTGGAATTGCTGCTGCCTTCTTATTCCTGGAGGGAGGGTTCGGGCACTCGCTTCAGATCCAGGCTCCCAGGCTCCAGCACCTATGGCCACCCTTGTGCTTCAGTCTCCCTGCCCCACTGTGTCCCGACTCCAATCAGCCTAGTGGCTCCCAGGGACAGACGGGCTCAGGTCAGGGTTCCCCTGGCGACCCAGGAGAAGAGGCAGGACACGGCCCTCATAGACACACTGGTGGACAGGGGAGAGGCTCACGGCCCAGGACATCAGCAGGGCCTTTCCCGTTCTACCAGGGTGAGAAGAGGGCTCTGCCGGGGCTCGGCCTAGGGAGAAGGAAGGACACACGGGCTAGGGAGGAGGCAGGAACTTGGGAAGCCCATCCCCAGGGGAGGAAAGTGTGCTCAGGGCCTGTCGTTAACGATTGCCATGTAACTGCGTAACTAACAAGCTTGAAATCTCAGGGCCTACAACACAGACGTTCAAGGTCTTGTTTACGGGTGTGCAAACGGTTTGGGGTTTAGACGATCTTGGCTGACTGGCAGGCAAGGCAGGCTGACGCCCAGTCTCTGGACCATGGACAATGGTTGGAGATACAGACGTGCACTTTTACTCAGTGCCACCTCCTCCTGGAAGTTCTCTCTGACTGCTCCTCCAGTTGGAGTTATAGGTCCCCTCTGGGCTTCTAGAGCCCCCAGAGTGCTCCTACCACAGCCCTGCTCACTGCGTATGATCATTGGCGTGTGGGTGGCATCGGCTCGCTGACCGTGAGCTTGACTTCATCCCCTCTGCAGATGCCAAACAATTATGTGGGGGACAAACAGTGGCAGTGAGTTCTGGTCACATGTGAGAGAGGGGCTCAAGGAAAGAAGAACTGAGCTGTGCCTTAAGCCAGGTCCTGGAGGTGAGGCACCCAGAGCGGTGGAGGGGTGGGGGACCCTGCCTGGGACAGGGACTTCCAGTGGGAAGGCTGGGGGTGCCCTCAGGTTCCTGAGGTCGAACTGTCTAGAGAGGCCTGGAGGTGGGGGGCTGCTCTGCTGGGGAGGACAGGCCAGAGCTAGTTAGTATAGGTGAGGCCTTTGTGCAAACGAGAAGGCAGCGCCTCCCTTTCTCAGGAACCCCCAGCCCCCCCCCCCAGGATCTGCGAGCTGCCGTGGATCCACCCCCTCAGCTGGGTTCCTCGTGTGTGTTCTCTGAGGTATGTGAACACGTGCGTGTACTTGTAGGGGCGGGGAGGCAGGGGTGTGTATGATGTGCGTGAATTCATGCCGCGGTTTTTAAATCTCCCAGGCCAGTTGGCTTCCAAACAATGAGGGGTGAGAAGCAGAGGCCCAGCGCCCCAGAAGCAGAAACACAGGGTGTCGTTCAGAGGAGATCACAGTGGTTTTCACCCCGCTCCCGGGGAGCCCGGCTGATGCAGGTCCCACAGTGTGTCAGCAACAGGCTGTCGGTCCCTGCAAGCAGCAACCAGGGCCTCTGGCCATGGGGTAGGCGGTTTGGCCCTCAGAGAGGCCTGATTCACCTGAGAAAGGGGCACCCCCACCCAGCAGGACAACAGAGGGTCACACGGGGCCATCTAAGCGAGACTTGGCTTCCACCCAGAGCGCTCTGTGGTCTCTTGAACCGGACTCGGCCACTGGGCAGCAGGCTTCCTTCCATGAGCCACAGTCCCCCGCCTCCCCACCCAGTCAGAGGCTGGGAAGGGGACAGCTCTGGAAACTGAAGCCTCGAGAAGAAACTGCGAGTCTGTGTCTTTGTTTCTCCCTGTGAGGCTCAAGGCTGGGCCGCAGGGGCCAGGGAGGTTTCCCTTCGCAGGCTACCACCCCTCTCCTTGTGACAAAGCTGGGCTCCTGGGG